TTTTTTTTTTTTTTTTTTTTTTTTTTTTTCTTTTTTTGAGACGGAGTTTCGCTCTCGTTACCCAGGCTGGAGTGCAATGGCATGATCTCGGCTCACCGCAACCTCCGCCTCCTGGGCTCAGGCAATTCTCCTGCCTCAGCCTCCTGAGTAGCTGGGACTACAGGCATGCGCCACCATGCCCAGCTAATTTTTTGTATTTTTTAGTAGAGACGGGGTTTCACCATGTTGACCAGGATGGTCTCGATCTCTTGACCTTGTGATCCACCCACCTCGGCCTCCCAAAGTGCTGGGATTACAGGCTTGAGCCACCGCGCCCGGCCCGTACATACTCTTTTTAAACGGGGTAACTGCTGTCTAGCTCCAGCAGGACATGGCTATGTGAGCTATCAGTGATAGCCCATTTTTACTAGATACTCACATTTTTCAAATAAAGCCATAAGGCTGGGTTTTTATTGAGGATTGGTCATCACTTTAACAGCTATATTCCTGTGCCTAAAGATCACCCATTTAAAGTGTACAATTTAGTGGTTTTTACTATATTTACGAAATTATGCAATTGTCACTATAATCTCAGAGCAGTCAGTCATAGCAAAAGAAAATTTATATCCATTAGCTGTCACTCTCCAATTTTGTCCCTCTCCTAGCCCCAGGCAACCACCAATCTACCTTTTTATTTTTGGCCTATTATGGACATTTCATATAAATGAGATCAGATATGTGATATTTTGTGACTGACAGAGATTCATGTGTGTTGCAGCTTGTACTTTGTATCTCTTAATGCTAACTAATTTAAAGAAAGACAAAAATAAATATACGTTCAAGTCAAACAAATACGTCCGTGAACCATAGGTGGTTCTGTGCCTGTCAGTTTGAACTCTAAATATAGATTACATTATTTTTATTCTATGTTATTTTTGACATGAATCCACTGAATTTTTTCCCCAAAAATCATTTTGATACCTTCTTACTATTAGTGAAATGAAACTTTAGGGATATCTTGAGTCTAAATTTTCTTAACATAGTGTTACTTGTCTGCTAATGTTTTTTTTGTTTTGTTTTGTTTTTTTGATTTTTTTATGTAAACAAATGTAGACACAAGGGCTGAAGTATTTCAAAGCGGTAATAAGAAAAGAGCTTCCAATAGAATAAACATGGAGTATTAAAGTATTCCACAGAAAGGGCTGAATCTCAGTTTAAGAATACTTTCACTGATTGTCCACTTTTAATGTAGTTTAAAGGATTTTTTTCTTACAAAAATATCTTTCTCTAATTGTGTAATTTTATTGGAAAAATAAGGATTAGTATGCATAATTTCCCCAAATGTTTAATTAATCAGCATCTGAAATTGTGGAATTTAGTGTATCACATACTCCAAAGCAGAGCACTCTCTTGAAGTAATCTGTATTTCAAGTGATCTCCTTCATTTCAAGAGATTTAAAGGTAATGTTTATAAATTACTCAACAAAAGGTTTTAGACCTATATAAATGAATTGAAGAGGCTGTGAAATAGTTCTAGGCTCAATAAGAATATGCTTTGACTATTTTGAAAATGAAGAGGGGCCAATAGGAATATCTGAGCATCCAAGATTAGGAAGAATTAGTGTGGAAGAGAGCACTCTCATTTGATTTGAGACTACTTGATTTAATATAAAAAGTAGCTTATTTAAAAGTAAGATCTTTTTAAAACAAGTAACTCATTTCAAGTATGGGAAGCTATAACAGGAGAAAAATAGGGGATTTTAGTTTCTTCTGAAATCTAAAATTACTGAAGTATAAAAACAGTATATTGGAATGATGTTATACAAGTAATATGTGCATATGTTCTTTAAAAAATTCAAACAATTCAGAAATAGAGTAAAAATTAAGAGCTCTTATCCGATTCGTCTTGAGCAGTATTAGATTTTTTGAAAGAGTAGAATTGTGCTTTTTCTCCTAGAAATTCAAAAAAGAATGTAAATAGATGTCCGTCAGTCTCCTCTTTCCCTTTTCTCTCTCTGTCTGACACACATGTGCATATGCACAGAGTACCTGGACATGTTAGTAGGAAGTTTTGTGTAAAACTTTGTAATTAAAATAGCAAAAATCTGGAATATACTGTATCTATGTGATTGTTTTAATTTTCCTTTATCGTAAGGATGAGTGAATTTAATAAATTTTAAAATATGCTTAAATTTCAGACTTTTCACATAAGATCAATTTTCTGAAAATTTATCAGATTTAGTGAACTTAAATTATGACATACATATTTTCCTACTATGTATATATTTAATATATTCATTCTTAAATATTTCAGTAACTGTGAAATAATTCTTAAAGTGCTGATTTAAAACATTAATCTTTTCTCATTGTTAGTTGATTGAATCAACAAGCACTATGGATGGAGCAATTGCTGCTGCCTTGCTGATGTTTGGTGATGCAGGTATGCCTGAATTAATTTTAAGCCATGTTGATTTATTGTTACATCATAACAGTACCTTCTCATTAATATTACTCCACAGTTTACCAAATACCTTTGTGAATTCTTATAAGAACCTGAGGTATTAATAGTTTGTTTTTTTAAGATAAAGAAATTAAAGCTTACTGTTAAGTAACTTACCTGAGGCCATGCAATTATTTGGGAACCAAATTTCTAAGTTTTTTTGGTTTTTTCTCCAAAAAGGGAAGAAGTTTCTCACTGATAATTTTGCTGCTTTTCTACAAATCTCATAACAGTGAAGTTTTATAGGATGTATTTTCTTTCTTTTTAAAGTATCATTTCTAATTGCATTGTGGTTTTATTATAGGTTTACCAATCTTAGTAAGTAGGAACATAGTCTTGTGGAAAGTCGTAGCTGGTAATCAGCATTCCTTCATTTAGTAAATATTTTTTTCGTGTTGCAGGGCCTTGGGATACAAAAATAAATGCCTTTGAATGAGCTTGCAACATAGAAGCATGTCCAATGTTTTAATAAGTGCTGTCTTGGTTTTTTTTAACTTGCGTATACCAAAAAAAGTAAAAATCATCTGACTGTACTACTAAAAAAGTATTTAAAGTAAGTAGTGAAAGCAAACCCACACTTCATTAACCACCTTAAATTATAACTACCTTTTATATAATTCTCAACTTTTTTCCTGCTTGTATACACTGGTATACAACACAAATACATTAGGTTACAAAATGTAAATATATTGGTTTGCATCTTTATTTTTTTTTTTTTGAGATGGAGTTTCGCTCTTGTTGCCCAGGCTGGAGTGCAATGGTACGACGTCGGCTCACTGCAACCTCTGTCTCCTAGGTTCAAGTGATTCTCCTGCCTCAGCGTCCCACGTAGCTAGGATTACAGGCATGCACTACCACACCTGGCTCATTTTGTATTTTTAGTAGAGATGGAGTTTCTCCATGTTGGTCAGGCTGATCTCAAACTCATGACCTCAGGTGATCCACCTGCATCAGTGCTGGGATTACAGGTGTGAGCCACCATGCCTGGCCTCATTTGCATCTTTTAAAAAATCATTTAATAATTTGTCGTGGATAGCTTCATATTCCTCTGTGACTACCCACAGGATTAGTTTATTAACTGTTTCCCTATTAATTAGCACTTATGTTTTCATTATTTCACTATTATAGTACTAAAGTAAATCACTTTATACATAAATACAGTAAAGATTTATGTTACTTATGTAGGTTACATCTCAAACTAGGATGCTAAAGCAATGTGTATGCACATTTTCAATTTTATTATCTACTTCCATCTCCTTTTGTTAAAGATTATGCCAGTTTATACTTTTATCAACAGTATTTTTGTGAATGCTCATTTTTCTAAGTGTATTCTTTCTACTTTTAATTTTTTTGAGGTTTAAAGTATGTACAAAATAGAAAACAATATGTGTTCCCATGGATCCATCATTCTTCTTCAACAATTATCCACCTCCTTTTTCGTAAACTAAGGGGATTGTATTGGAGTAGTTTCTACATAAGGTTTTATTTTGTTCATATAAAATATTTAAATCTCTGGTTTCCTCCAGTTTGAGCAAGCGGACAGTATTTTGTGGGTTCTACCTACCTTTATACTTTTGTCAACAGTATGTTTGTGAATGGTCATTTTTGTAAGTGGATTTTTTCTACTTTTTTTTGAGTTTTAAAATATTTACAAAAATAGAAACCGTGTTTCCGTGGAGCCATCCATCATTCTTCTTCAACAATTATCCACTTCATTTTTCTTCCACTACGTGGATTATATTGGAGTAGATTCTACATAAGATTTTATTTTATCCATATGAAATACTTTAAATCTTGAATTTCCTCCAGTTTGAGCAAGGAGACAGCATTTTGTGGGTGCTACCTACACAGAATATCAAGATTCTTTTTTGTCTTCTGCTTATTATTAATAGCTATGTGACCTTTAGCAGTGTTGCCTGGCTCTTCTTTTTTCCTTAGCAGTAAAATAGTATAGTAGTGCCAAACTCAAAGGTTGTTGTGAAGAACTGATAAAGTTAATGTATATTTTTTATTATGGTGCCTGGTACATAGTGAGTACATACTAAATGTTAGCAGCTATTTGTTTAAGGATCATCTGATGATAAGAAAAATGTTACAGGAGAATGTTAGCTATGTCTTCCTCATTAGTGCTTCCCTAGCAGCTTCTGAGCTAGGATTGTGCCACTGCACTCCAGCCTGGGTGACAGAGCAAGACCCTGTACCACCATGCCCAGCTAATTGTTGTAGTTTTCGTACAGATGGGGTTTTGCCATATTGCCAAGACTGGTCTCGAACTCCTGAGCCCCAGCAATCTGCCCACCTCAACCTCCCAACGTGCTGGTGCTGGGATTACAGGAATGAGCTCTGCACCTGGCTTCTTTTCTGTTCTTTTTAGGAAAGAATTCAGCATGTCTAGATGATGTGACAGAATTATCTGGTTTGAAGCTTTTTTTTTTCAGACTTAAAATATTACATTTAGAATATTTTGGTTAGTATTTGTACTGACATGAATACTGTGCTTTGAAATGTTAATAGCATTCCATTTTATTTTGTAATAGCCATGTTAATGAAATTTTTAAGCTGACTTGTATTTATTTCAGTTGCATAGTTAGGGCTCTGATATAATTAATGCTGAAATCTTAAACCTTTGTAATCTTAGCAGGTGCTTTCATAGTAGCACAGCAATATGTCTGACAAATTTGTTTCTGAAAGCAAAAGTATTTAAGAAATGTATACAAGATGTATAGTAGCATATGTAGCTCAAGTTTGTTTTCTTCCCATCACAATATGCAGGTTTCATGTTACTGCTGTACTCTGTGTTATATTCTTTTGCTTTTACATTAAGAGCATTTGTTGCTTAAGCCCTCTGTATCTCCATCCTCCTCATTTGTAAAATACAAATGTTACCTACTCTGTAGGTTTCTTTGCAGAAAGTAAATGAAACAATAGTTTATAAAAGACCTTGTGCAAAGCCTCATACATACTAGACACAGAAATTATTGATGTCTGTGATGATATTCAGATAATTTACACTTGGTGGGGGTCAACTTTATTTCATTGCTCAACACTCAGCCACTGGGAAGAACCCCTCCCTCATAATGTTACTCTGTAGAATTACTCAGGAATTTAGAGATGTATATTTTTAGATTAAATAACATAATGGTTTATGAATATAGTATTATAATGATTTCTACTTCTGAACGACTGCAAAGAATATTTCCTTTTTTTCAGTTCAGTCATGTTGAACAGCAAACACTGGGCGTGTTATCAAGAGAACTGTCTAGTATTCATTATAATACATTTTTGCCTTTGTTTTACATTAAATTGATTTTTTTTGCTCTTGCTGTGCAAAGTTTGAATATGCTGCTCTGCTTTAAAAGGTGGTGGGCCCAGGAAAAGAAAATTATCTTCTTCTTCAGAGCCATATGAGGAAGATGAATTTAATGATGATCAATCTATAAAAAAGACAAGACTGGATCATGTAAGTTTATATTTGAATTACAGTATCACAATTGGCTGCTTAAGGATGGAATATGTTGAGTTTGTGGATATTAGACCTGAAAATCCGCCTAAATGAATTCCTTTCTTTCACAACTATGGGAATTTATGTCTACATCTAATTTGTGACTGTTTTGCTTTTTAATTTATCTAGTATGAAGCCTGCATAAACACAGACTATTTTGTGTCTGTGGATATCAGACCTGAAAATTTGTCTAAATGAATCGTTCTTTTCTTTCACCAGAAAGCCAGAAAATTTATGCTTGTGTATATTTTTTGACTGTCTTTGCTTTCTTTTAAATTTATCCAGTATTAATTGCTTATCTCTGCCCTCTTCGTTAAATTGTGTTCTCTGAACTGTGTGCGTGTTCATCTTCAAATTTCCCTTTTTTTATAAGGACAACAGTCAGATTAGGTCCCACTCTAATGACCTCATTTTAACTTGAGTATCACACTAATAACTCTGTCTCCAGTAAGGTCACATTCTGAGGTACTGGCCATTAGGACTTCAATATTTGAATTTGGAGGGGACATGATTAACTTATAACAGTGGTGTTTCCAGAAGCAGTTGAATAGTTAGAGTAGATTATCTACTACTATATCTTTCATGATGAATCATGACAGTGTAATCATCTTGCCACGAGACAGTTGACTTAATCTCCCAAGGAATGGTGCTATAATGGGGACTCATCGTTGCCCTCTGTTCTTCCAGGTTGAGCACTGACTATACCAATAGCCAGATTAATCTTGGTGTAGAAGGTCTTATCTTGTTGATCTGCAAGCACAGACTCAAACCTAGTTGCCAGGGCCATTTGTAAATGGGCCTATTGAGCAAGGATTCAAGTGGCTATGGACTTAACTGGTGTTCACAAAATGGATTATCTTGTACACCGGATGTTTAAAAATCGTCTCTGCAATGTGTGCACCCTTGGCTGAACATTCACATGAACACCATTATCCTTGTATTCTATTCTCAGGATAACTTTTTGTTTTGAGACAGAGTCTTACTCTTGGGCCAGGCTGGAGTACAGTGGTGTGATCTTGGCTCACTGCAGCCTCCATCTCCCAGGTTCAAGCAATTCTCGTGCCTCAGCCCCTGAAGTAGCTGGGATTACACGTGTGCAGCACCACACCCAGCTTTTTTTTTTTTTTTTTTTTGGTAGAGACAGGCATGTTGGCCAGGCTGGTCTTGAACTCCTGACCCCAAGTGAACCACCCACCTCAGCATCCCAAAGTGCTGAGCCACCACGTCTGGCCATCAGAATAACTTCTATTCTGAGATGTTCAACAACGTACCTCTTCTCCAGACCTCCTGGTCACTAGTCTTTCAGTCTTGTTCTTCTCCTTAGTCTCTGTCCATGATACATTGCTAATCTCTACCTCTGGCCATCTCTTTGTACACAAAATGGGCAACAAGATCTACTGCTCAAAGTTATACACAGGACTGCTGTCTGAGATGGGTTTATATTATAACAGTTGTTCACTTGACTGGTTCTAACAATTATGCAAATCCTTTGTAAAGTCAAGCCAGTTCGGGCTGGGTGCAGTAACTTACACCTATAATCCCAGCACCTTGGGAGATTGAGGCAGGAGGATTGCTTGAGCCCAGGAGTTCAAGACCAGCCTAAGCAACATAGTAGGACTCCCGTCTCTGCAAAAAAAGAAAAAAAAAAATTTTTTTTTCAAATTAGCTGGTCATGCTTACATGCATCTGTAATCTCAACTACTTGGGAGGTTGAGGAGGGAGGATTACTTGAGGCCAGAAGATCAAGGCTGCAATGAGCCATAATTATGCCACTGCGCTTCTGCCTGGGTGACACAGTGAGACCTGTCTCAAACAAAGTTTAAGGATTTCTTTCCTCTTTGTCAGGTCAGACAGAATTTTGTTGTTGTTTTCGAGACAGTCTCACCCTGTTTCCCAGGCATTATCTAGGCTGACTGCAATCTCTGCCTCCCAGGTTCAAGCAATTCTCCTGCCTCAACCTCCCAAGTAGCTAGGATTACAGGTGTGTACCACCACACCCAGCTAATTTTTGTGTTTTTAGTAGAAACAGAGTTTCGCCATGTTAACCAGGCTGGTCTCAAAACTCCTGACCCCAAGTGATCCACCCTCAGCCTCCAAAAGTGCTTGGATTACAAGTGTGAGCCACTGTGCCCAGCCTATCAGGTCAAAAACATTCTGCTTTTATCAGGATTTATTATCAAGTCAATAACTGTTTTACAAAAATAAACCAGTTCCGTTTTTAAAATGTGAATCTGTTCCAATGTCAATACATTAGAGAACGATTTGAGCATAATCCAAAATTTGCATGTATTTTTGTGCAGTTTTGTCCATGAGAAATACTAGGTGATCATAGAAAGTTGTTTCCAACTGAACCAAGCCATGTAGGAATACATAAAACACACACACACTTCCAGTATCTACTGGCTGCCTCTTTTTGCCATGTATATTATCCTATTAGGTGATG